TGTAAGCCAGAACAGTATTATTGTATAATACTGTGTAAGTAGTATTGTGTAATTAACTTGAGCCATTGTGTATTTAACTAGAATCACTGTGTATTTAACTTGAATTTTGCAACAATAGGCTCCCTACTTAACTATAGGTTGTCCGTGAACTGGGTGTTCTTAACTCAGGGACTACCTGTATGTCCCAAAATCTATACGTTAAGCTAGCACATTCACAGTCTGTCTTCTTTAAAATTCTGTATGTCTCTTTCTCAACAATCTCTGGTGGTCTGAAAGAAATTATATAAAAGCAAACACAAAAATACATAAATGTGGCAGGTAGATAACCATTACCTAAATAAGTAATCATTGTGTCCAGAACCTTTACTGCTGCGCTGTAAATCCCCAAATTCTTTGAGTTTAGGTTGTCCATCACTATAGTCACAACAGAGAACAGGACTGGATTTAAGCCATTTTTAAGGACTGGAATCATGGAGACAACTGATTCTAATGCATACTGGTTCACCTTCTTGTTGGAATCCTGAAGCCTCAGTGTAAAAGTATCAAAAATCTGTTAACATTAAGAAAATAAGCAAATAAATTCTGACATAAATAACATACACAGAAATATGAGAATTCTTCCAAGTTATGAGTCAGTATATGAAAAAAGAATTTGAATATATTTTTGCAGTCAAATATCTCTTTTGTATATACCCTCATTTATCAAGTGTTAATAGAGAGGTCATTTACAACAAATTTAAACCCTAGAGCTGTGACTACCTCTGCCCTCACTCCCCTCATCTGATGATCATTCACATTTTGAAATTTTGCACATTTTGTTGATTGGGATCAGCAGTACAACATCTATAGTAATTAAGAAAAAGTGATTATATGAGTTCTTGATAAGATAGAATATTCTACTGTACATCTCTGAAATCATATCATATTAATTGCTCCTCTACATCTCTTGTAAATATTAGACATCCCAGAAAACTGGTTTTTCTACTGTTCATAGAGATAATAGTGTAGGAAACTATAGGAAATCAGATAATTCTAGTTATCATCCTCCAATTCATTCATCAGGGTCTATATTTAGCATAGAACATAGATGTGACAGTAGAACTAAGCCTGCTAATATTTAAATTAATTCATCTGGCTAGGTAGTAGGGTGGTATGGCTCAACGCAACTTTAATAAATTCATCTTTGAATTAAGGATACTGGCATTCAAAATGGATACCTGCACAATATTTGAGGAGACAAACTGAGGGTTGTTCTTGCAATGCTCAGTTAGTAAGGCTATTCCATCTATTCGTATCTGAAATTCCTTAGCCATAAGCATCTTGTTCAACTCCTTCAGCTGTTCCATTACTTCTATACTGCGAAGCGAGAAGGAACGAGCTGCAGGCTGCGAGAGGTTAAGGGCATCAGAGGTAGACCTGGAATTGAAAATTGAACAGCTTTTTGCCATATTTCTCAATCACACAGTAAACAATTTTATCTAGCACTGTAAAGAAGCACAATTTGTAGTGGGCCAAATACATCATGCAAGTTAAACAATGTTCACTTAACCTTCATGTAAGATGGCTGAATCTAGATCAAATTCAGAATAGTATGGTAAATTAAGCAAAGCCGGAGTTGAGATTTTTTAAATTTATTTCCTTTACTTTACAAATGTATTGCCACCTATTCCTGAATGATTCTGAGCAGCATATAAAAGATCTAGCTAACTGATTATATACTATTACAGAATCACACATGCAGTTAAAAACAATGCAATACAATTAGTAGCATTAAAAAAAAAACCCTCTGAACATTGTAAAAGGCCAATGGTGGCTTGTTCCACAATAAAAGCCTCATCTCCCAGAAAACTGTTGATGTTTGACACATGTATAGTGGGACCTGCAAAACACCTGGGGGTATGGGGCAGATTATACAGAAGTAGGCAGTGCTGTAGGTTTCATGAACTGTATAAGACTTTCTACAGCAAAGTAAGTGCTAATTAGTCTTGGAAATCAACTGACAACAAGTGTAGGTGTTTCAATAGAGAGATGACTTTTGAGAAGCTTCACTTTGCCTACCACATTCAGGGCTAGCTGCAATTTCCAAAATGCCACACAAGAAGTATGTTACAATAAACCAAATTTGAGATCATTATGTGACTGATACACATCTCTCTTCCCCAGGTGGGGACACAATTGGTTTATCAATCAAAGCTGATAAAAGGACGCCTTTGGCACAGATGTTATGTGACTTCCAGTGTCCACACTGGATTCAAGAAGACCTCAGACTCTGAACCTGTTCCATCCAGAACAAGCATATCATGTGAATCCTAAAGACTGTCCCATAGAAACAACTACTCCATCTTGGCTGAATTCACCTTCCCCTTGTTCTCTCACATTCAGTCCCTTGCCGATTCTTGAGAAGTCAATTCTGAATTTGCAGAAAAGGTCAAGTACAGTTCAATATCATCACCATACTACTGATAAAGGGCTCCAAACCTATATATGATCCTAGGGTTTCAGAGACATCCTAAATAACATCAAGATTCGTTGCAGGAATCTGTAAGATAATTCCAAAAGGGTGGAACCAATGTTTGCCAATGCCATCTTCAAACAGCACCAAAAAGTGATGAGAGTAGAATCTCCACAAAGTGGTGTCTCCAACTTTTTAGCTTCCAAAAGATAATTATATAACAACAGTTGAGATGAGAGATCCAGAAACATTAATGGGGACTCACTCCCCCATCTCTCACCTTCCATAGATCGTTTATCACAGTGACTAAAGACATCTGTATGCCAAATACAGGACTTAATTCAGACTGAAAAGGTCTGGATAATCTGTTTCCTCTATCCGTTTTTACACTGCCACTGCCTTCTCCTTCAGCTCAGTTAAACATGGGATTTTGAACACTGTAACTGCTGAAATGGATTGAGGAAGCTTCTTAAGCAAAGATCTCACCACCAACATCTTTAAGGTGGTAAGAAATTCTGCCACCTGACAGAAGTGTTAATAATCTCAAAAATGATTGGTAAGAAGGGGTCCTTGGAGGTCCTTATAAGCCAAATCAGGGGTGGATCTAACAGGCAAATAATGGCATGGATATATCCAAGGACTTTAAGGGAGAAGCAAGGAAATTAGCCTAGACAATTGTTTTTAGACAATGCACTAGACAACTCAACAGGATCTACACAGATATGAATGGCTTTATCTGTAAAAAGCTCACAAACTGCTAACAGTGTAGTTTACATGGTATTAGGGCAATGGCTTAGGCCACCGAGAGCCATGGGATCCATTGGTGGGTAGTTAATAAACATAATTATTGTGATAGAATGTATTTACAAAAAGGAGGGTGCTCTGAGAGATCAGTATCAGGAAGGAGGGGGTGCATTCCAGGAAGGGAAAGGAGAAAAAAGTCCATACAGTCTGCAGGGGGAGCGTGGGAAGCAGAAGAGGTTCAGGATAGCCACTCCCTAGAATCTGCCAGGGTATATCCACTTGTTGCAGTAGTATAGATTTAGTATGGCAAGATTCTGTCTATAAGGTCTAAGCAAATAAAGGAACTTTACTCAACTGGACTGTTTCACCGTTGTTCTTGGGCTGGGCCTGACAGTTATGAAGGAAACCCATTGTTTCTTTTCTTCCATCATAAGCATGGCCTAGGCATAATAATAACACCTATATTATATCTGATTTGACTCATCCCTAGACCTGCACAATAGTTCCTCAAGCTTCTTGCCTCCACATCTCATTATGGGTGATTGTGGGTTCACACACAAAAGAGGCAACACTCAGAAGTCACTATATCAAGCATTGGAGAAATATCATTATTGCACATTTCAGTTAAGTTGAGGTTAAGATGGTCAACTGGGTTAAAGAAAGCATTCCCAGAACCACTATAGAAACCAGTTGGATCTATTAATGTCTAAAGGTGTTCCAATCTAATCTGACCTCTGCCCTGCTGAGGAGAACATCCTGCAGCAGCCCAATCTTCACCACAGAATGACCAATCTAGGGCAACAGTACATCCTGACAGTCTCCTTCAAACACAGCTGGTTGTCCCCTTGACTTAACAGAAGATCTGGGATGCTATTCTTTTTGTTAGAGACCAAACTAACATTCAACAAAAAGTATCAAGAGTTATGGATGCTCAGCCTGACTCCTCAGATAAACATGGTAGGTATAACAGCTGGAGATAGAAGTTATTATGACTGAATGGGTTCTACCTCCCCATACAGGACTGCCTCTTCTCTATTCACTATACAGTAAGTCCCTTTGCTCATATTCCTTTGATAAAGGAACCAGTCCTACTGGAAGAAGCTAAAAAACTCTTACCCAGGCCAGAACAAGAATAATAAGAATATGAAGTATACAAAGAAAATGGGGGTAGGAGGAGAGGGAGTCCACAGAGAAAAAGAACAATTTGTAAATTTGAAGAGTAAATCTGGAGAACAGAGAAAGGAGGGAAATTCTCTATTCTTGGTTGTGCAAATGATTTCAGATGATCACAAACACAGAACCTATAATGTTCCTAAATACTTCCTCAGTTAAGAACTACCCATTTCCTACTCCCTTCCCCTAAAAAAATCCTGTTCTTCTTTATTCCTTGCTGCTCTGTTATTGCTAATTGCTCTGCTGGTCTTGCTAATTGCTAAACTTTGTAATTTCATGTCCCAGGCAATGCCATCCAAGTGAGGTCAGTGTCTCTCACTCACTGCCAAGGAAGATGGCCTTGCACCAGGTGTGGAGCTCTTCAGCAAAGGGCAAGCAGGTAGTGCATATTTCCAAAATACTCCTCCCCAAACCATCAAGACTTCTTTGCAGCTAGAGTGGGAAGGCAAATGGCAAACTCAACTGGCAGTTTCCTTCCTTGAAATGGCAGACTTTGAAGAAGAAGCCTTAGTAGCATTCTAGGGAAGGGAGAAGAGGATTAGCATCCTAGATAGGGCTGGGCTGCAAAGTCTGGGTGCCCACTAAAATGCAGCAAAGAGACACAGTCAAATAACTCTTCTCTGTCATCTAGTGGCTACCTGGATGCAGAAGCTCTGTTTTAGGGACAGACAAAACTTTTCACAAGGAACAGTCTTCTCTCCTAAATTAAGGGTTTTCAGCAATGGCATCAACTATGAGGAAAATGGGGAACATAATGCATCCCAAGCAAATGAGTTATGTTTAAAAGGATAGCAAAGGAAAGGCGAGGGAAAGGGAACTCTAGCCACTCAACATGCAATGGAATATAACAGGCACCTGAGCTTTTAAAAATATATTTTTTACAGTACGCATCCCAGTGACATGCTCTGTGTCTTCCCAGAACCCAGGTAATCACAGAAGCAGATGATGCTCCCACCTTACCCTTCACCTGAAGACAGGCTGTCCAGTGAGATGGTCAAACTGCCACTCTTTGATCCTTGGTAGCTTTTGGCAGAAGAAGCTTGCGAGGCCGGATCTTCGGTCCCCTACACAGGTCAAGTCACACTGTCATTTTAACATTCTGGTCAATTTCACACATTCCACTTTTTCATATGGACTGATTTATACATCATAATAAGTCACAATGTGGTTTGGCTGGTTTGGGTTGAGCATGTTATACAAAGCCATTGTTGCTTGTAAGCCATGGTGTATGTATTAAGTTGTGTGAACTCTGCCAGTTGTGGCTTATTTAATAAAATAGAGCTAAGGAAACTGGTTTTACTTTGCCAGTGTATTATTAGTTCTTTATGTCACTTCCGAAAAGTACCCAATGGGGCAGTTAATGCCCAGCTACTGTGTCAGATCTTCTGATTCCCCTTTCAGTCTACACATTTCCAAGGTTGTCCCTGGACTTCCATACTCACTTTTTGTTTAATTGCAGCCATGACATCCCGCAGGTCATGTGATGGCAGATTTTGTTTCAAATACCCATCAAATTTTGGATGAGACATAAGCATGTTCAGCATCTTCCGGCCATAACATCTAATGGAAGAAAGGGAAACACCTTATTAAGATCTCTGGAGAACAAAATTCCATCTTCATTCAGGAGATGGCATTTCCTGCTGTTACCTTGTATCTTGATGGCAGTCCTGAGCCACCTTGACCAATATCTGCACTAACAGCTCTGTACTCTCCCGATTGCCTGAGAGCAATTTCTCAGCCCCAATTTGTTCCATGACTGTCAGTAAGTGTCCAGCAGCACATTTTCGAATGAGGGGATTTCGGTGGCTGCAACAAAATGGTCATAACTGTCAGAAATAGGGCATGTTTTGTCTCCAAAGTAGAAAGCTGTCAAGCTGTAGGCTGATGGCACAACTGTTCTAGTTCACCTTGATCAACAGCACCAATTTTATCTATTCTACACTGTAAGCTTTTCTTAGAGCATGAATGGGAAAACACTTTCCTGTGCAAAGGACAGGAATCATAGTTTACCATCAGCAAAGTCAATTTTCAGCATAATTTACAGGATTGCATAGTGCTCTTCCTGTTTTTCTCTGCCACTCCATGTCATGGACAAGTGGTTTAAAGAACAACCATGGGTCCAAAGAGCTGCAATGCTAGGCCAAGTCTATGGTTTACACTTGTAGGTTCGTAGAGAAAGATTCAGCCACCTTCTTGCAGGGATGGGCAAAATTTTGCTCCCCAGATGCTGCTAAACTACAACACTCAGTGCCCCCTTCCATCATGGCCAATAGTGAGGGATGCTAGGAGCTGTGGTCAGCCACACATGTCCCCAAATTACTCTAAGGAATAATTCAGAGGTATGGAATTCTCTCCTGCAGCAATTGCCTTCTTTTTTGCAAATACTAGCACTTGCTGCTCATGCCCATAGACCAGCGAGGATCAAGATTGCAGATGAAAAGGCAATGTACATACTTCACTCCATTGGCCACGAGGGCTGTCATCGCTCGTGAAGGAGTCACACTCTGTGCCATGATACCTAAGGACAGGTCAGCTGCTTTCTGGATGAATTCACTAGTATCACCCGCCTTCTGGAGCAGGACTCGAGAAATCTCCTCAACCTCTTGATCCATCTGCTTCTTCATGGCTTTGAACAATGCAGCAAGTGTCCCAATAGCAAACCTAGACACTTTAGACCGTAGGTTGCTAACCTGATAAAAGAAAGTCACATGATCTTATTTACTTTTTCAAATTGTAAACAATGACAGCCAAAGGACCAACAGGGCCATTTTCTTATCCAAGTAAAGATTCCAGAATTCAGCAGTATGCAAAATCCCTAGATCAGATGTCTAAAAATAATGTTGTCTAACTTCTACATATTGCTTCTACACACAGAACTTTATTATATATATTTTAAATTTTTACTGCAAGTTTCATCAGAACTTGTACCAAGGAGTTGTATGTAGTTGCCTAAAAAGCTATTATAAACCTCCCAAGCCTAGAATATTCCTTAAAACAAGAAACAGAAAAGCTGTATTGCTGTGTTCCATGTGAGAGCCAAACTTTGCCTTGCCTTTATCTTCACTCACACGTTTTAAACTCCAGAATAAAGTCTATATTTACAATCATTTTAGAGAAAAGTGGGATATCATAAATTATGCCAATGGCTTCCCAGTATTTGCTGTAGACAGAAGGCATAATGGCCTTTGAAAACTCTGCTGTTAGCAGCCTATCAGCTGTTCAAACAATGAACGAGTACGGAGATGGTCTTTGTGACTTTGCTTAGCTGTTGCTTTTTATTAGAAGGGTTTAAAATGAGAGCGATAAAACCTCTCCATTAAGTGGTCAAATACTGTAAACAGGAAGGCAGCTGAAAGCAGCTCCATGAAATTAGATCCCAGGAATGCAAGAACTGGCTAGCTCATAGTATCCAGCATGAGTTCTATAGGAAAGCCGAACAGTATTTAGGTCTGGGAAAATGCAGGTACTGGGTTGTTGTTGTTTAGTCGTTAAGTCGTGTCCGACTCTCCGTGACCCCATGAACCATACTG